TAGCTTGGCTTAGTTTAGCTTACCTTAGCTTAGCTTAGCTTAGCTTAGCCTAGCCTAGCTTAGCTTAGCATAGCTTAGCTTACCTTGTTTTAGATTAGCGCAGCGCAGCATAGCGCAGCGCAGCAGTAGCACATCATATCACAACATATAATAGCCAAGCATATCATAGCATAGTATAGCATATCATCGCATACCATAGCTCAGCATAGCATGTCATAGCATATCATAGCGCAGCATAACATACCATAGCATAGCATAGCATTGCTTAGCATAGCACAGCGCAGCATAGCATAGCATAGCACATCATAGCATAGCATAGCACAGCATAGCATAGCATAGCATAAATGTAAGTCTCGCTGTTGATGTTGATGTAGATGTAGATGCAGGTGTAGATGTAAATGCAGCTGTCGGTGTAGATGTAGATGTTGCTTTCCTAAATGCTCCAACTCCTAGGTAGGGTCGCACTGGGATAATTATTACTCTTACTCTTATTCTTATGTTTATTACGATTCGGAGCATATTGGGAGGATGTCTCGAGCGAGGCGCTCATTTTCAGCATCCCCAAGGGGAGCCGCCAGGGGTGTTTTCACGGTCCCGTTCGCGGCCGTTTTGTGGGGATGTCTCAAGCGGTTTGCTTGTTTTCTGTCCCAACATCCTTCGCTTTCGGAGCAGGTTTGGAGGATGGTTCGAGCGAGGCGCTCATTTTCACCCCCCAGGTGGGCCAGATTTTGTGGATGTCTCGATCGGTGGCCAGACTCGTGGGCACAGATTCTCCTCAGGATGCCACAGGAGGCTCCAACAGGCTCCAGGAGGCCCAAGGAGACCACATGAGATCCCAGGAGGCATCAGGAGGCCACAGAAAGACTCAAGAGGCCACAGGATGTCCCAAGAGGCTCTCGGAGGCCCCAGGAAGCTCCGGGAGGCCTCAGGAAGCCACAGGAGGCCCCAGGAGGCCAGGGGAAGCGCCAGGAGGCCTCGGAAGGCAACAGGAGGCCCCGAGAGGCCCCAGGAGCAGTCACAAGCGCCCAAATGGCTAGACGCACATTCCAAGATCCCACTGACAATTATTCTGTTAAAAAGATGCACATATGGCGATCTCCACGCAGTAGTAATTATTATTCGTATTACTCGTATTTCACTCTTTGTTCTTTTTCCAAATCCAATTTGGATACCACCCGAGCCGGGGCGCGGGAATGGTTTATGTTCGTTCCATGTGCTCGGTGCTAATCCTATCGTTCGGCGAAAATTGCCCCCCCCCCCCAAGAATTATTCAATTGCGGCGCTGTGCTCAGGATAACCCCGGGGGGGTCCTTAATGGCTTGATGAGGTTACGTGCCCCAGTATTCTTCGCGCTCGCTCGATGCTCTCGTGTGCAGCCCGGGGGAGGGCACCCTCGACTGGTCTTCGGTCTGGGCTGGCGGAGGGCCTCATGCTCTTGAAGGACGCTCTTCCGTCCTCGGTCCGACTGCATCCCCCCTTACCCCCCCCCCCCCCCTTGCTCACCCCTCCCTCTTGGCCTTCTCCTTCTCACCTTCTCACTCCTGGCCTTCTCCTTCTCACCCCTCCCTCTCGGCCTCCTCCCTCTCACCTTCTCACCTTCCCCCCTTGCTCACCCCTCCCTCGGGCCCTTCTCCCTCTCACCTCCCCTCCCCCCCTGGGCGCGCGCCTCGCCGAAGGTCGGTCACGATCGGTCCCCAGACCCCTCCCCGAGGGCCCCTCGGACGCGGTTCTGTTGCACACCCGATCGGCACTCGAGGGCCCGTGGGGCCCGACAAAAAGCGGCCTCAGGAGGCCGCCCAGCGAGGAGCATCGGGGGTGGACAGAACCCCCGACAGTGACACGTCGATTAGTGAGTTGTCCGTTTTCGGTTCTCGAGAGGGCGCCGTGGCCGTGATTTCCCAGGCTTGCGCCCGCCAGGTTTGGGCCTGAAGTCGTTTTCGTTAAACCACGTTTTACGAAAAGGGGGGTCTGTCCATCCCCGAGAGCAGCAGCCTCGGACCTCGAAGTCCCCAGCCAGACCTCTTGGGGTGCTGATGGGCCAGTGTCCCACCACCACTACCCACAGTCGGAAGCTGGGCGAGGGCTGCTAAAACCGTGGCTGCTAAAACGACCCTCCCGGAAGGAGGAAACACCAACTTCCCGGAATGAGGCGTGGCACGCGAAACAGTCAACGGGCTTCGTCCCGGAAGGACGAATACAACCTCCCGGAGGTCGATTTTAGCAGCCACGGATTTAGCATCCCTTGACCGGCTTCCGACACAGGTACGACGGGGAGAAGGGAGGATGGGTAGGTCCTTCCCCTCCTCCTCCTCCTCCTCCTCCTCCTCCTCCTCCTCCTCCTCCTCCTCCTCCTCCTCCTCCTCCTCCTCCTCCTCTCCCCCTCCCCCTCCTCCCCCTCCCCCTCCTCCTCCTCCTCCTCCTCCCCCTCCTCCTCCTCCTCCTCCTCCTCCCTCCTCCTCCTCCTCCTCCTCCTCCTCCTCCTCCTCCTCCTCCTCCTCCTTCTCCTCCCTCCTCCTCCTCCTCCTCCTCCTCCTCCTCCTCCTCCTCCTCTCCTCCTCCTCCTCCTCCTCCTCCTCCTCCTCCTCCTCCTCCCCCTCCCTCCTCCTCCTCCTCCTCCTCCTCCTCCTCCTCCTCCTCCTCCTCCTCCTCCTCCTCCTCCTCCATCTCCTCCTCCTCCTCCACCCTCCCCCACCTATGGTGGTGGTAGTGGTGAAGAATCGGCCCATCAGGTAGGGCGGGAGGGGGGAGGGGGACGGGGGAAGGCTTCTCTGAAGCACCCATGCTTCTTAGAGGGCGCGGGCCCTGTCTGCAAACGTCGGGCCCGCGCCTTCCGCCCCCTGTGCACGCCGCCTTACAGTCAACGCGCATAGTAAGGACAAACGACTTTTTCAAGGGTACCCTTGGGTCCTTGCCTGCCTTAGCCTATGCGGCCAGCCCCTAGCAATTTTCGCAGGCCAGTTTCTCAGGTTCCCTGGGGGTTTGGCCGCCTGCCGCCCAGAATACTTCAACTTCGGCCTCCAAGGGTCCTGCGTCCTTCCCACGCGTCCTTACTATACGTTTTCACTGTAAGGGATGGGGAGGGGGCCACGTGGGGGGGGGGTTGCGCTGTTGCTCGACGGCTCGCGGTTTGTGCCAGAGAGTCGTGCCTTTCTTGCGAGAGGGCGCGGCCACACGAGCCAGACGGGGCCAGGACGAGGACAGATCCGTCCCAGACCGCTCCGGGACGCTCCCAGAGCGTTCCGCAACGCTGTGAACAGGCCGCGGCGCCCGAGGCATCCTCCAGAGCCGCCGAATCTCAGAGATTCTCGATTCATCCTCACCCGACTTTGTCCTCGTCCTGGCTTCGCCTCATCTTGTGTACTCTCGCGTGTCCTCCCCAATCACGCTCGACTGTGCACATATACATATATATATATATATATATATATATAGGGATCTCCAGGGAAACCCTCGAGCAGATCGAGGGCGCTCCAGCGCGCGCCAGAGGGGCGGCAGGAGCCGCGAGGGGCCCTACCCTGCACGGACGCGGGGTGTGCAGGGCCCCCTGCCGCTGCATCTGCAGAAAAGGCCCCCATCCCTAATGTTTTTGGCCCTCCTCACTTGGGTCCCCTCCCAAAAGGTTAGACTGTCAGGAGCACTTCTCTTGCTTAGCGTCTCGGTGGGGCGGGGGGAGTGCAAGGCCCTCAGCCGCTGTCCTCGTCCTCCTCGTCCTCGTCCTCCTCGTCCTCGTCCTCCTCGTCCTCGTCCTCGTCCTCGTCCTCCTCACTTAGGTCCCCTCCCAAAGGGTTAGACTGTCAGGAGTACTTTCCTTGCTTATTATCGTGCCCAGACCTCCAGCGTTCCAGTCTGGCATCGACTACAGAATTGACTTACGTTAGGTTCGCTCCGTGTCGACTGGCGGGGACTCCGCCGCTGGCGCTCAACGTGGAAGGCTGCCGGCGACCCAGAATCGGTCGATGCTGTGATTTTCCCCAGATTTGAAATTCTCGTCCAACCTACGGAGAACCCGTTGAATGCTCAAAGATCCAAGGGACATGATACGCATTTCGCGCAGATTCGACCAATGAATTCTGGGGTAAGTCAATTCTGCAGTCGATGCCTTACTCGAAACGTATAGGTCAAATCCAGACGCAAGTTGGTTTGCCAACTTCGGCCTCTGGGGGCCCTCGCTAGTCCCTGGGATCATCAAAGAAATGCTCGGGATGAAGCACCGGCCCCAGTGGAAGGGTCAGGACTTGGGGACTCATCGGATGTCTGGGTTGATGCGCTTTTATTTAGTGCTTTTACGCACAGCCAAGACGTTCAACTCAGGAACAGGTCAGGTTCGTAGCGGGCTCGCTGTTTCCTGCGTCTTTCCATGGCTGTCCCTATAGCGCCCTCGTGCACGGAGGCCATGCGCTTTGGGGTGCCACAATGGAGCTCCGTTCTTTGTTTAGCGTTCTTTGTATGTTCTGCGGCATGGGTTTCAGGGCCAGCGCATTAGAGGATGTCCTGCTGCGCGCCTGTCAGAGCCGCCCGCGATCCGATTCAGTGCGATTCGGTGT